GCTGCCCGGCAAAATTTCCCTCAAGGCACATTGTAGGACGTATGCCCGTCTTCATTAGCCCAGTCAGAGCAAAACAGTAGGACTTTAAACCCCATTTCATTTCATTTCTGTCAACAATATGCTTAATCATGATTATGAGCCAAAACTGGCTGGATTGAGAGTGACATAAATTTAAGCTAATCCTAGAGAAGGTAGTGTATTTTAACATTAAGCACGTGTACATCCAAACTGCGGCTAAGTAATTATAGCAGAGATTTCGGTGTTGGCCGAAAAATGTTCTCGTGATTTTCAAGCTTAGTTATAATACTCCTGGTCATGGGAAGCTTGTCCCCCCCCCCTTTCTTTATTGCTAGAAAGAAAAGTGCATAGTCCTTGGGATGGGACGACAAATATATATATATATATATATATATATATATATATATATATATATATATATATATATATATATATGCCATTAACAGAACGTTACAGATCTTAAAATGGTAAGGTAATCCGATAGCTAGAAATCGAAATATAGTTGGCGTTATCGCCGCTGCCCGTGCAGAATGTCCGCCATAACACACAGTTATCATTAGTTTGGTCGGTACTCCGAAAATCAAGTCATTGATGAATACCATGACTTAGCAACAAGCAACAGGGGGTAATAATATTAGGCTGCTTCTTTATGTGGCATTTAGTAACACACTAACAGTAACACACTAACACTATTTATGGAATAACAATTACTGGTTTATTAACATGCAACGTTTCGACGATGATACTCTCGTCTTTAAAAGTATCATCGTCGAAACGTTGCATGTTAATAAACCAGTAATTGTTATTCCATAAATAGTGTTAGAATATTAGGCTGCGACATCGATCTTTTCCCAACTTTGAAAGAATGAAAGAAATTCCACATAATTTGATTTTTCGACGAACAAAATCTTTAATTTGTGTTGTAGAGTTAACAAGCGTTGTTACACTGCTGACGTATGTACGACTAGATGTTTGTTAAAGTCGGTTAGAACAAACTTCAAATAGATTCTTAAAACTATTATCAACAATTTCTTTAGAAAAATCTTTAACTTTGTTGTATTTACCAACAAGAGGCATTCGGCACTAAAAAGTCTCATACGAAAACGTCTGGATTAAAAGTAGTGTTTGATCTTATGTTTTCCTCGTTTATATACTGTCAAAGGTCGTAATTCCATCACGCAATATTATTCATCGTCACGGAATCTCGGCACTGTAATTCGTGATTCCATCACGCAGGTTTTATGCCACAAAGCGTGTACACGACGTGTCTGGGATGATATGTCTATACCAAATGCAGGATTTTGATTATCCAGACTAGACTTTTGTCGCAGTAGCCTAACAAAGATTATCTTTGAGATTTCCAGATTATTTGTAAACGTGTATTCTGCATTTAATTTAAGGAAAAGCATGGTGTTTCTTAAAAGGTCTCGTCGACACAATCGTCAACACAAAACTTCTGCTATCTTCAAACCAACCGTTTCTTATTTCTTGTTTGTCTGTGTGCCTTTTTTATCTGGCATTTTTTTTTAAATTTAGTGCACTGCTGTAAATAGTTGCAGAAATCTTCTTTGATTGGCATTTAGTAATTGAACATATTAGCACAGGGTATATTTTTTGTTGTTGTATATATTTGCCTACAATTCACATACCTGTATCATTTCCTTGATAAAGACGAAAGTATCCTCGTCGAAACATCGCTTAGCATTAAATTCAGTAATTGTGTATCCACAAAATTGTACTCTGTGTTAGTTGCAGAGTTTTAGATCAAATTCGCTTTCATGAAATTCCATTAAGAATTATTTTACTGAATTGTGGCCCTTTGCTAACTAATGGAAATTCTGTTTTTCAGAATTTTTGTAGATTAAAATTTATTACACCGTTTTACATAGCAGAATTACAGGCCAATTCAATATATATAGAGAGAAATGGGTTGTAACGTCCACTCGACACAAACTAGGTCATTTCGGGACTAACATATGGTTCAGTTTTATTTCAATAATTAGCTTGCGCGTAGGATTCTTTTGCAGTGGGAGGAAACCGGATGACCCGGAGAAACCCATAAGGTTGTACAGGCGATCCTACTCCTTGCCACGTACAGCCTGGGAATCTAAACCACGCCAGTTGACTCAATGACAGACCTTAAGTTATAACGCGCACGCGTTAATCACCCCCCCCCCCCGGCCAATTCAATGAAAATTAAGTTTTGTATCATGTAATTCATCTAAACGTATGTGGAAATGTATTCACATTATCAGCCTCTAATAAATGCATGCATTTTAAAATTTGTTGAGACCAGAAGGGGTATATTTTCTTGGTCAATCCTCTCAGGATGATTGTTGTAAAGATAATCTAATCAGATATACGAAATCTTCAGATATACCTTTCCTTTCAGTATTTCACAGATCGTCCCGACGCACCAATTACCAATAACAAATGCATTTCAATGACATATTCGAAACCTTGGGACCAAATAATTTTATTTTACCAACGTAAAACCGGAAGTGCTGATTTGTTTTGCATGCTGTATTTTACCTAGAACTGTGTTTTTCAATAATCTATTGTCGATTAAAGTTCGTCCATTTATCTACACGCTAATTGTCAACGCAACTTATACCCTTGGGACCCCGTGAATAGATTATTGTTTAAATCAAGTCAAATCTTCCAATATGCTTCTTTTATTTCAAACATGCAGTTTTAACTGGTTATGCACAGATTCGAAATATATATTGTGATACAGTATTTAAAACAATATAATGAATCGAAATTTCAGTAACATTCAGTATACTCTGCAGATGTTATGAGCAGACTTGCCCCATTTAATAAATTAATGTTCGAACTATTTTGATTGGGTTTTTTTTAATCTGATTAAATCCAAGTCTGGAGATTTATCTACTGTTGATATTCGGGGATTGTTTTCTTAATTAGATGTTAAATAATAAATGAGATTAAATAATAAAGCTGTGAAAAATAAGATACAGTCATAAACTAAAAATACACGCTTTGTATCTGCCACTTTAATTCCGTGGAATATGAATATAATTAACATCGTTTCAAATTGCTTTCATTTTAAACTGGTGCTTCCGTAATAGAACTGATTCAATAGAAGTTCTGACGCTAACATTACAATAAAATGGGCTCACATTCACATATATTCGATAAAATAAGTTATTATTGCTTAAAGTTAGAAATTATTTGTGCTAAAAACGAAGTGGAATTTATTTGGGTAACCCGTTGATGTGAAAATTAATTTACTAATCACAAGTTCTGGTTTCTAGTTGGGATTTAATGGACCGGTTATAATTTCTAGGGGTGCTACAGTGGCTCGGTGAGTACGGCGCCGACTCACTAACTAGTAAATCCTGGGGTTGATCCTGGTACTAGCAAGGAAAAGCGTCTTGGGGGTTCGATGGGGCCGTTTACTTTAAATCGCCGTTGCCATGAAAACGACAAGGCGCTAAACCGTATTGCATTAACAGGATAATTTCTGGTTGAGGAGTAGGTATCTATTCGTTAATCCACAGCCATAATAGCCTGTTGCGGAGGAACGGATCTGTCTTGGAAATACCGTTGACCACTGGTCCATAAAAGGGATTCTGTCTTCAGACATCACCATTCAAATGTGCAAAAATGTCTCTCTTCCGGAAGTTGAGAGGGTCCAGACTCCATATAGTGATCTTACAGAAGGAGTGACTGTAATTGATGACACAGTCATTAATTTTTTCTGATAGAATCACGGTTGTCGGAGAGGAAAAATGAGGGAAAAGCATTAATGTCAAAGTGTGGTCTTAGACTTTAGATTATAATGATGCTTACATGTTTAATTACACGCCATTATAATATTGGGGTATTAAGGTTTTGTGATTAGGAACTACCAATTGAAAATAAACCAATTTTATTATATCAACCCTTTCTACTTTTAATTCAGTATCGGACCGCATTAGTTAGAGATTAATGCTGGGTTTCCACTGTCGCGCGATGCGTTACGATAGGATTGCGTTTCGATACGATCAACACCAATGCTACGACTGACTTCAATATATAATAAGACTTGATAGATAGATTAAAACAACGATTTCAATCCCAGCGCGAATCGTGATAGTGGGGACCTAGCATTAGCTGATAACATTTTCACACCCCTTTACCCCTGCCGCGTACTAATGGTAGATGTGGTAATGTAAGGGTCCCATAATCACGATTCGCGCTACGATTGTAATCGCGGTTTCAATCGAGTGGTAATTGTGGTGATCCTATCAGGTCGTATCATATATTGAGGACAGTCGTAGCAATCGTATTGATAGTATCGAAACGTATCCGAACGTACCAGATCGTGGACTCAATGGGGAAACTCATATCATACTGATCGCACGACAGTGGGAACCTAGCATTAATTAATTCTGACATTAATGATTGTGTTGAAGAACATTTTTATGATGTGCTCGCTAGTAATGATGGATATTGTCATTGCGAACGCCTATAAATTATTTGGTAATGATCCGAATGATATTACTGATTCGGAGTGAAGGCAGCATTATGTATGGATCCGAAGTTACACTAGAGAGAGAGAGAGAAATGGGGTTTGATGTCCACTCGATACAAACTATGTCATTTCGGGACTAACATGTGGTTCAATTTTATTTCCATAATTTGCTTGCGCGTAGGGGTCTTTAGCAGTGGGAGGAAACCGGAGGACCCGGAGAAAACCCACGAGGTTGGACAGGCGACCCTACTCCTTGTCACGTACAACCGGGGATTCGAAACAGACTTTATGATACAGCGCGCACGTGCTAACCATTCAGCCATCACCCCCCCCCCCCCCCGAAGTTACACTAACTTATATGCTGATATCAATGATTTACCTGTTGGAATATTTTATGTATTATCCAAATAATAAAATATCCATTAAAAATACACGGAATAAACACAAAAAATACACAATTAATATTAAATTAAATCCATCACCAGAATACAAAGAATTGGCTGACCTTTAAGTAGACATGAGCACGCCATCAGGAAGGCAATACAACGCATATTCAAAGTATCCATTTTCACAAAATTTTACAATATCAGGATTTCACAGAAGTTTATTTTCCTTTTTTTTATTTTTGAGAGCAGGTGCGGTTATTGGAATTTTGCAGAAGATTGATTATTGAAGGTTTCCAGTAGATGAAGTGAGGTCGTCCTAAAGGACGAGGAACACAGTATTTGGTGAACACAATAACAACAGACTCCCGGTGAAACCTAGACTCCTTTAGTTCTATCCATGAAGGTGAGCACTGATAGCTAAAATATAACCGCAATCGGTTTTTATACTTCGCCTTATTTGTTTGTTTATTTTTCTCTTGTGTACATGTAGCCATGTTGTTTGTTTCCGTCAACAGTTTCACCAGCGACTTGGATAGTAAAAGGTTCTGGAGAGTGTCGACAGTGTTGGCTAAGTTTCAATAATTCCCCTCTCAGTCTATTGACTTTCATCGTTGGCTTTATATCTAAATACTTCAAGTGGGTCATTTCAATTAATTATATCTCAGAGCTTACCATTATACAAGTGTAAAAAAAAGATATAACACAACAGTTGAGATAGAAAAAAGAAAAATGGAGTAATTGCGAGGTGTGAAGATTTTTTGAGACTTGTGTTAACATATTAATCCCACACTGAAATAGATATTACTGACTCACTGAACTATAGATATTACTGACTCGCTGAACGATATCACTGACTCACTGAACTATAGCTATTACTGACACACTGCACTATAGATATTACTGACACACTGATCTATAGATATTACTGACACAATGATCTATAGATATTACTGACACACTGATCTATAGATATTACTGACACAGATATTACTGATACAATGATTTATAGATATTACTGACACACTGAACTATAGATATTACGGACACTGAACTATAGATATTATTGACACACTGAACTACAGATTTTACTGACACCGAGCCTAACTGAGCTGAAATGAAATGAAATGGGGTCACACATCTTACTTTTCTGCTCGATCCAAGCCCAACTCAACTATAGATATTACTGACCCAACGAGTCATACAAAGTACAACATTTAGGGTTATTTCGAGAAGGGAAGATATAAATAAATATGTGAATAGGGTTATTTTCTTAATGCGATCTTGCTGAATAATTCACATCCGATGTATAACATCTTATGTAATCTTCTATCTTCTATGTACTGCGCCGGTGTGGTTGTGAACAAATTGTGTATAGTTTTATCTTAGTATGGTGATAACTGTTTTTCTTTATTTTAATTGTCACTCTTTTGGGCAGGAAGCAATTAATTGACGACATGTTGACCCTAGTCTGGCCACAAGACTCATGGATATGGCAATCTCTATGATTTATTAGTCTGAATCAACGACATTTAGTACCGATCGTACTGATAGAGTCCTGTCCACGGTTAAGAATTTACTCAACTTTCAATCAAAGTTTATAAGAAATATCATGGACCTTATAATGTATTATAAGGTCCATGGAAATATCTTTGATTCTGAAATACAAAAATTTGCAAATAGTTTCTTATTGATGATTTTTGATACATTAAAACAACAAAGGTCTTATAAAGGGTTATATCTTAGTTAAAATAAGGCGAACAATTTTGAGTAAATTCTTAACCTAAGTCTGAGAATGTTTGTGAAACAGGGGGTCTAGTTCTTGCAGACTGGAAGAGCTGACAAGTAAAGTGTCATCTGGTCGTTCGAATGGGACCAAACCCCACGGTTCAGCCGGGCACATCTTGGTGTTAAAATGGAAAAACCTTTGAAAATTCACATTGGCGTGCACGTAAAAGATCTCTTGGTAGGCTGGGAAAAGTTTCTCTCATAGCACATTGTATGGCATATGCCCGTCCTCATTACACATCTTACTTTTCTGCTCGATCTAGGCCCATTTCATTTTCATTTCCTTCTTCAGGTTTGGATTTTCCATAAGGTACAATCCAGAGATATTTGAAAGCCCACGATTGGTATGTTCTCTAACCAACGGTGTTCCCACCATTTCTTTGAATTCAAAACAATTTACTAAACAGTGTGAATCTGTTGGAGTTCTCACACCTTGAATTAACACTATTGTTTATTTACTACATTATCTAAATTATCTACAGATGTAGCGGAAATAACTTACATAATATTGGCTTGTCTAATAAAATACGAACAGATTACTTGTTGAACGGACAGATACCATGCTGTTTGGACGTGGTTTCCTAGGAAGTCCAGGAGTGCCTATATGCTTTCAAAGATTCAAGTTGGCCTTTTTTACAATTACAAGACACCACACTTGTTTGCCAAGCCAGGAATATGTGAGCTGGACATTTATTCAGCGTATTTCTGTGTTTTAATCGCATTGTTACCCTCACTGTCTTGTCAGACATTTTGTTTCAACATTAAAAAATAACTAAAAGTATTGCTAGCATTACTACCCTGACTCATACATTAGGTCCCGAGTTCAATTCTAGGTTCGATCACAGTGATGGTTTGGAAAGTTCCTCCGGATTTTGCAGCCTTCCTTCTTGTCCGTGCGGGGCAATATTTTGAAACATACATGCAATCTTATAGAGAGTGTTACTTCAATTATTGACATAACACGTTAAATTAACCCAAGAAGTCAAGAAACTAGAATAAGTAAGCAAATCGACACCCGTTTAATCTTTTGAAACAAAAAGAATGCCACATTAAAATAACGCGTCAGATCAGCGTAGTTCAACAATCTGAATCAAAGAGGTTAAGATACCTTAAACATGGATTATGTAAGATTTAGACCAAGTGCTGACTGTTCTTGCTATAATAGTTCAACAATAGTTAATTAAAAATATAAAAATTTTAAATATTTTTTAAGGTATCTCTGTGTACCGTAGCCTGCTTATACTCAGAATTGTTGTCCGAAAAACATGGCCACATGCGCAATGTGTTGTGTGTAATATGATGTCATTATCTATTTTTAGCCTCGTAAATGCACCCTGTTTATAAGTTTTTGAAGTTTTGACATCAGGTAGCGTAGATTTTTTATTATGGTAGCAACGGTACTTGGCATTCGAGACTAAGCGATTTTTAAACTTTTAAATAACGGTGGTGTTCTATTATACTAAAAATCAGATGGACCAGAGAGTTGATATTGCGCTTGGTGTTAACAAAGGTTACAATAATACAATATTTTGCATAACAATTTACATAACAATTTGCATAACAATTTGCATAACAATTTGAAGCCCGAAAAAAGACCCGCAACAGGAGGATTTGGCTCTTAATGCATCTTTAAAGGGTCTGTAATTTTTCTCTTTTTAAGAAAAATAACTTTAATTCCCCGAATTCCTGTTTTAATTTATTCTTTCTTGTTTAATTCTTGGCTACCACCCCTTGTAAACAAAAAGATTGGCGCAATTATAAGTCTGTCGTTTAAAGAATTTTTGTAAAATCTTTTAAAAAAATAAAAATATTTCTCCTTCTGTTTGATTTCCCATCAAACAATTCAGCAGCTTAATTTTATAGCCAATTTTATTTTCTCGGCATAACAGCAAAATCTTATTTCTAAACCCTGCAATCCCTTTGTTATCCCGAAAGAAAAGCTAACACGATGTCTTGGAAATCATCATATTATTGTCTGAGATTTACTTATAATTTTTCTGCACAAATGAAAGGTTTTCAGGTGATAATGTCATGCATATGACATGTTTCAGGTCTGTCTTTGAATTATCTGTGATGTTAATATTCAGACTGTTTTCCCATATTGACGGACAAAATATCTTTAAACAAGTGGAAAATACCTGAATTAGTTTCTGTAAACCATTTGTAACATAAAGCCTTTGTGACTCAAGCTATGCTTAAATTGAAATATAATTTAATATTTTCTTGATCACAAGAATGTCGTCGGTCTGTTTTACAGCTTTGACTCTGTCTGCACTTACTATTAAAGATACATTATGGGAGAATAGATGAAAAGCTGGTAGTTCTCACTATTATAGTTAAAAAATAGATAATGTAAAGGGAATTTGCTGAAAATTCAGTCAAATGGATCCACTATGAACCGAGATTTTAGCGATTGAATTTTCGGCCTAGCCTCGATCATCATTATTAAAGTCGGTAGGATAAAATACATAGGCTCTATTATCCATTTCATGATTTAATTATGAATGGGAGTCGAACAGCAAATCGGAACCTAATCCAATAAACATCACAGAGTTGATTATGGTCTAGATAGGTTAATTAATGTCTGATTAATAATTTAGATAACATTTCAGGCCTAAAGAAAGACCTGCAATAGGCAGATTTAGCTCTTGCATAATGTGTGTTTAAGTTAAGAATGACTTCACTTTGTAGCCCACCTTGTGCCTTATAATTTGGAACTCAATTCTAGGGCCTCAACGTATTTTAGGTCTTGGCTGAAGACTCATATAAAAAACAATCTATTATAAGGCCGACGGTAGAAGGGCCATTGTGTTACAGTAGCATTTCGTGGGATTTCGTCTATTTTTGACTGAATCGTGACCCTAAACATCATTCAAAATTGTGTTTTGGGGAATGTGTGTTAGTTAAACTTTGAGGTTTTTTTTTATAGAATTCATTTCATCTATTTATATTATATATTCACAGAATTTTATTCGAGGCATTAGTCTCTTATAGATGCACGCAGTATGGAATTTGTATGGACACGTATTGGTTCAGCAATGCTCCCAGAGTGTGCATGGCCTTGTAGGGAGCAAATACGGGTTTAGCTATACTCCCAGAGTGTGTAGTGGACACGTATTGGTTCCGCAATACACCCAGAGTGTGTATGGACCGGTAGTGGGCACGTATTGGTTCCGCAATACTCCCAGAGTGTGTATGGCCTTGTAGGGAACAAGTATAGGTTGAGCCATATTCCCAGAAAGTGTATGGGCCGTAGGGGGCCATGTACTGGTTCAGTAATACTCCCAGAAAGTGTATTGAACGTAAGGGGCGTGTATTACTTCGGTAATATTTTCAGTGTGGGAACACGTATTGGTTCAGCAATACTCTCAAAGTTTACATGTGTCGGTAGGGGACGTTTACAACTTCGGCAATATTCTCAGGCGAGGTATTTTATCACACTGATACACGACAAACACGTCACTCGTTGTACCCATTTGAATTAATAAAAACAAGACACAGACAATACATTGGTGTGCACCTAAAAGAACCATTGACAATTGGAATTCGAAATAAATATAGCCATAGCGCTATATCCGGGCAAAAGTTCCTTCATCCACACTGTATGGCATTTAGCC